CAATAATAACAATTATATGTTGTATTTGTAGACTACAAGAAGAGATTATAAGGAATGTGTTGTTCACATAAAACCTGTCAATTTTGCTTTCTAAGAGTCATAATCTGCGATTTTCTGATCGCTGTTCACGAAGAATGACGAACAAGTGAGATAAAATGGTATAATCGCTTATTGCGACTCTCATAAAGCAAAATTATCAGCTCTTATGTGTGAAACACAAACTATACACAATCTTCATGCTGCTTACAGATAAAAAATAAAATCATAATCTTAATATCTTATGATTTCATCACAGACAAACAGACATAACTCTTAGAAAAAAATTCTTCAAAAAATATCGTCAAGCGTATTTTGCATGCGCACTAGCACCATCTATCATCCACATTCCCAAGCATTGATGTGCAACTAGAGCATCCCTCGTTCATGCCATTTTTTCACCAGTTGCTTTTCCCTCGTTCTGTCAACGCGTCAGCTGTGTTTAATAAAAACAAAACAGATGGAAGTCAGTGATGTCGGTTCTACTAAATTTTCCGTAGATCTATAGAATTGATTGAATTCTGCAGAAATACGGATCCGTAGGAAGAATTCACAGAAGCTAAGATTTTTTTAGGGATTTGTTTTGTTTGTTTAGTGTGCTTTTTCTTTTGCTGGAAACAAGTTTTTAAACAAGGCAATGCATCACTAATTAGTGCCCTTTCTACCACCGCTCATCACTTTAATGTGTGTACAGCAGAAACATATAATATGTATCAATCAATGAAATTCATGGTGAAGTATTGAACATCAATAACTGGTAAAAGGGGTAAAAGTTGATAGAATATTACAGCCATCAACATGGTTTGTTCTCAAATTCTGTGTTAATCGTGCAGCGTACTATTAGGAACGGAATGACTAATGTGCAGCACTTTCAATGTAATATTCAACAACTTTTTTTTCTGTATTCGTCAGATGTGGTATGTGTCTCTAGTGGGATGCCTTGACCACTTATCATTGTCAAGAGCTGACATCTACTATCTAAATGTGAAAAATAACTGGCATCACTGATAAGTTCGAAATTTGGTGGCTTGCTCAATGCTTCAGTGGCGCCACCATGACAAATGCAAGCACATTCCCAACTAAAACATTATTGAGTGTTATGTCTGTTTGTCTGTGATTTCATTATCCCATAAAACATCTTCTTAAGCGAAATTAATGAAAGAACCGTGTTGTCAACTTAACTGTCATAATGCGTTATAATGAAAGAGGTAACATATAAAATTTACATTCTCTGCCCTATTTTATACAACGCTCCTATTGTTATATAAATGCTGATGCTGATTTTGACATGTTCATTTAATTTGGTTTACGATGAAAGGAAATCAGTTTTCGATGCACAAAAATTACTTTCGTTTGCTTCTTTGAAGATCGAAAAGATCGATTTTTACGATCTTTTATTTTTTTGTTGTTGTTTATTAATTTATTTCATAAGGCTCAAACGAATTCACTTTGCAGAGCCGAAGATTCTTGGTCACTATACAATATATCTTAATAAAGTGTTTATTGTGTTGTACCTTTTGACTATAGAAAAGGTACAACACAATAAACACTTTATCTTCCACTGTCTAAAAAGCCTCCTCCATCCAAACTGGAGCCGCTTCCAGTGCTCCATTGTATGGCAGTTACGCCAACGGGGATCAGAGCGCTTCCATTGCAGCAATGGACGCAAAACGTGGTCAGCACAGACATACTCATCTCTAAACGGTTGCTTTCCAAAGTAATATGAAAAAATACAGTTGCACCTAAATGTAGGGGAAATGGCTTTAATGTTGACCTATGGAACTAAGATTGGGCCCATCACTAAAAATCTGCTATTTATCAATTTTATCTAGTGTCATTGGGACGATACTAATGGATATTTTTAATCGCTATTGACAATTTAGTCGATTACTGAATTTTTGTATGGGCCCAAATTAGGGGCATTTATGTCGGCCTAAATGCCCCTAATTTGGGCCCATACAAAAATTCAGCAATAGACTAAATTTTCATACTTCCATTTCCCCTATGTATTTTTTCATATCACAGAAAATCATAGATTTCTACCATTGGAATCATTTTGTCATATTTAAAAAATATATTGATTGGCACCTAGTTCAATGCAAAATGTTACTTTCAAGTTAAGAACAATGGCGTTTTTTGGGGATCAAAAAGTACTACTCCTTCTATAAAATCTCAATCTCAATAATTTCAGGCATTGAAATTGTCGCTTGTCAAATACCTTCTGTATTTGTTCCTTCCAAGGACTTCCATAAACCGCCGTCAGCTTTGGAGTTCATTTAATATCATTCCATCTCCAGTTCTAATACTGGGCGATATGAACTCACACGGTACTGGCTGGGGCGAATCATACGATGACAATAGAGGGGGTATTTTTTATGATTTGTGCGACGATTTCAGATTGACTATCTTGAACACTGGTGAAGCAACACGTATCGAAAAACCTCCTGCTCGAGAGAGCCGACTTGACATCAGTGTTGGAAAAATCATTTTCAAAAAAAGTTCTATCACAGCTCATTGCAGAGATAAATCCCAAAGGAACTTCTCACAAAAAGTTCGTGAACGAGAGATGATAAAAAGTTCATGAAAGCGTAGAGCGAGAGAAATTTTCATTTCGTATCGCGAAAGATCTTTCGTCTCTCCATCTCACATCATTTCACACGTACTCGTGATTCGAACCAACCAAATATCCCCTCAGCTTTGTTCTTTTTTCCCAGCGAGTAAAGGTAGGCGATGATCATGCGAGAGTGTCTGTTTGTTTTCTTCTCGTTCTCCGATATTTTTCGCATCCTTCACATTAAATACCATTTCCAGAGAACTTTGAGATTTGGGCGTAATTGCTTTTGTAAACAAACACGTCATTCAGCGATTTCTCACGAATCAAAGCACAATCTAGCGAACTATACTATACCAAATGAATCATTCCTCTACCTGTCTGTGTTGTTAGTTTTTTAGATTGAACTTTAATTCACGAGAAATCGGCGAATTAAGTGTGTGTTTACAAAAGAAATTACGCCCTAATCTCAAAGTTTTCCGGATTTATTTATAGTTTTAGTTCTCAATGCAACCAGCTAATAATACAAGTATCAGTGCTGTAAATTTTCATATCATTCGATTGAAGATGAACCACTACAACCATTCACAGAATTGTGTAAACGAATTCTCACATGACCATAATGGAGCCCCTTTCTCATTCGAAGCTCATTGTCACTGTCAATTGAGTCACTCAGTATCATTTGATATACGACAGTGGAGTATGGAAGAAATCCAGGAAAATGGTCCCGAACAGACAAGTCGACCCGATGTCGGATCAATGTAAGGCTAATTTAAGGTCGATGTCGACCCAATGTCGTGTTAATGTCGGGTCATTTTTGGGTTTGTGTCGGGTCAATGTCGGGTCAACATCGGGTTGGGGTTTGATAGAAGTCAGGTTGGTGTCGGGTTGGCTTAGCTTTTTCGCCGGAATGTCGACCAGAGCTCCGTTTGTGTGTAGGTTACACTCAATCGAATGATATATAGCGTTTCTCAAATGAGAATGATCCATGCCTTCGTCAAATGACTAAGCAACTGATATCACCCATTCGGAGGAGGTCCCCTTTAATAGCGAATAGCTACTTTTCTAATTTTCATCAAAAATGTTCAAATGATTTTGAGAATTTACAGCACTGGTAATAGCACAGTGAAAAAGTTCACCACCACCTATATTCCCAACCATCTCCCTGCATATAATTATTGCATAAGAGCTTACAGGAACGATATTACGAACACTAGTGATGAGAGGAGCCATGCATTAACTGTATTTCGTGAAAATGAGGATACATTAGGCGCTCCTCCTTCCGCAACCCCCTATCCTGAGGAACGGTTTTAATATAAAAATTGCTAGTCACAAAATCTTACACTTCCCTCCCCGTTCCTCGTTAATGTCGCGTTGACACTTGTGCTGATTCATTCATTTTTTTTTTGCCAGAAACCAATGCACCAATGAATCAGTTGCACAAAACTGTTCACATCATCCTGATAACGGCTACTTTAAACAACAGGCGCCAGTAGACAGCCAGGTACCAGACTTATCAGTCTTTAGAGATTGTATTGATTTACTCGGGATAGCTTTCTGTCTATAATCTTTCCCTTATGAAATGTGCAGTGCAATTTTCAAGAACGAATGTGGTGTAAAGAGATAGAGAGAAAAAATGATCTGATATTTTTCGTATCCTCACGTTGGTGATTCGAGTTAAAAAAGTTCGCGATATCTCATTCTCTCATCCCAGAAAGTTCGCTCAGGAAATATTGGAGTGTGAAACTAGTGAGGGAAAGTTCCCAAGAGAAAACGTATCGCAAGCGAAAATGATATTTTGGTGAGAATTCCATCACTGCTTGACATATTCTTGTGCTTTAACTCACTATCATTAGATTGCCTGTGGAAGGTTATCAATGATCCCCATGATAGGGATCACTTACCAATTATTATTTCAATCAAAAGTGGTCGTCTAAAAATATATCAGTCAATTCAAGTTTCTTCTGAACTCACGAGGAACATTGATTAGCAAAAATATGTATCGGCGGTAACTCTTGGTATTGATTCTACCGAACTAATCTACAAAAGCGCATTAGAAGCTCAGAAACAACGTGTTCCAAAGTGTATCCTTCAAAAAAGACCCGCCATCCCTGGATGGGATAACTAATGCACAAAGTTGTAGCTTGAGAAATCCGATGCCTTTAAAGATTATCGTAGACATGAAAGATCTTACTTACTAAACAAAAGTCGGTAAGGAATCAAGGAAAGTGAATTAAAACTTTCACCGAACAGTTCCGCAGTTCAAAAACCTAATAAAATCTTACTGACCGGATTACTGTGTACGATTCCCTACTGTTTAGGATATAAATGGGAGCATTACATTATGCGAATGTTAAAATCGCTAGAATCTTATCTGAACCAAATTAACCATTAATTTCCGAAAAATTTCCAGCTATACCTCCTTTGGAATCGCCCAAACTTCTCCTACGTTTGTCAACCCGTCGATTTATCCAGAACTACCCAGGGTTACGAAGAGCTCTACATATCGTACGCTTACTTCCTGCTGAAGGTGATGGACCTGGCGGACACCATGTTCTTTATCCTGCGTAAAAAGCAATCGCACGTTTCGTTCCTGCACGTATACCACCACGCCATTATGGTTGGCATGACCTACTATGGAGTGCTGTTCGTACCAGGTTCGTACTAAGCCTACTTTGCAAGTTTGACGGTTTTGATTTTATTTCTAATGACTATCTATTCATCGCAGGAGGCCACATCTACCTGCTGGGTTTGTGGAACACCCTGGTCCACGCTGTGATGTATATGTACTACTACTTCGCCTCCTACGGATCCCCGCTGGCCGCCCGGTGCAAGAAATATATGACCCGCATGCAACTGATACAGTTCATCCACCTGGGTATCCACTTTGGGCGACCAGCTCTGAGCCGGATGGACTGCGGATTCCCGCTGCTGTGGCACTGGATCGGATTTGGTCAAGCGCTCTTAATTCTGGGCATGTTCATCAACTTTTACATCAAGTCATACGTGACGAAATCGAAGAAACACTGAGAAGACTACGATCAACAAAAGCAGACGCTTGCGGGTGTGGATGATACGGGAAAGCAGTGCTTGGGTTTTTTCTAGCGTACTCGGAAAACTACAGCAATGCGCTGATTTTCGAAGGTGATGCTGATTGGTCGGTTCCGTGAACCGTTCTCAGTTAAGCTGTTGTACACTGGGTAAGTCATATTGTGATATGAGTACTCTCTAGAATTAAGACTGTATGCGGCAATACTTTTGATACAGTAATAATTCTAAATGATTAGTGATAAAATCCTCACGTGCCGGAAATTATTCAGGAAGAAATTGAGAACTCCCAAACTTAGAGAAACTAAGCACTCAATTGAAAATGTGATTGAACTAAAAGGACCCATCGGTCGTGTCAACTTCGCACGAAATGTTTATTACTTATCATAGCTTTTCGTTTTTTTTTTGTTTCACGTATATTTTTGGTTAACAAACTTTGTAATAAATAGACAGATGAGATTTGCTGCGCTTGGACACAAGGGAATAGCATTAGTTTAGGAAGTTTAGAGCTAAGAAGAAAAATATACAAACAACTATATACATCAATTTACTTAAAAATAAACGAATTATTTGCCGGCAACAATGCACTTCTGTGGGCAGTGGGGTGTAAGATTGAAATAGTGGCTTTCGTAATTTGTGCGATTGGTTTTCCAAAACTAAAAACAACGCCAAATACTATAATCTATTCGAATCAACAGTTTCAGTGTTGTGGAAGACATTAAACTAGAGGTAAGACAACTTAACATTTTGGCTAGAAGCTTTTAAGCGTGTCACATTTTGGGTTATTCTCGATTCTGATTCTGCCTTAACCTAACGTGTGGTGATGAAATCTCCTAATATCCGACACTTGTAGTACGAAAATCTAATAAGACACTGTCGACGACGTTCGCGAACGGTTTCCGATTACATCGGATGACGTCCGCTGGGTGTTACAATCTAAACGTGCTGGACAATACTGCTGCGGCCAATGCGTACAGAAGGGCTTGCAGGGTCGATATGTTCGCTCGGAAGGCCGCTCCTGAAAGGTTGGAATTTTGTATTAGTACAACTCGGATTGGCTGACTTGTTTCGGCTTAAGCAAGTTACCATGATACATCTTCTCTCGCTTTTTGGTATAGTTAGTCCCCGGTATCGACAGTTGGCAGCTGATGGATGCATCCTTGGAGTCATCGCTGAGGACGTGCTGTAGGAAAACGTCGTAGGATCCCTGGACTTGTTCCTCGGACAGGACCACATTTTTCGTTTGCGATTCGTCGATGCTGGAAGAGGCATAATAGTATTGTCATGATCAATCTTAGATTGGATTAGATTCTTTACGTAACTGAGCAGGTCCATGCCAAATAGCATAAAACATATGAGTCTTAGACAGGACTTTCTTTGTATAGTTATTTGCAGTAACTTTGCATAATTGTTTGTTATGGGCAATCATTTACATTTGTGCAAAAATTCTGTTCTCATTATTTTTTTATATATCGTAGAACGAAACATCACTTCTTATCAGGGCCTGAACATACTGATTATAGCTAGAATACTGCTTTTCGAAATTATGGAGCTATGAGACATTATAATAATAATTTTTAAATGTAAGATGCAAGAAGAGGAGGTATAATTTGTGTATAACACATAAAACGAGTCTATTTTGCTTTCAGTGGGTCACAATTAGCTATTTTAGCTGTAATGAGTACTCGTCATGAATTAGTACTATTCGTTATAGCTAATCGCTACACACTTAATCTAGCTCGGTAAAATCTCCAACAGTCGATTACCTCGGCATTTGCTTTTGCTGATCTCTTTGCAAAATATATGTCTGTTTGCTGATATCTCAGCAAAATGATATTTGTTAGCTGAGTCTCGGCAATCATTTTACTGAATCTCAGCAAAATAAATTGCAGAATCACTCGGCTTTTGGAATCCCGGCGAAAAAAATTAAGTGTGTAATTGTGACACTCTGGGAGCGAAATTGACTGGTTTTTGAAAGGCGAACAAAACTTAAAATGACGATAAAACGTCTCGGGGAAGCCTGAAAACAGTTTTTGAGGAAGTTGAAAGAATCTTCCTGCTGAAGTTTAGAAAATCTTTCTGGGAAAATCTGGAGATACTTCCTAAGGAAGACAGAAGATACTATACATCCGGGAGAAGACGGAACAAACATCCGAAGGAAGTCAGAAGAAACTTCTGAACAAAATTGGAACACAACCGAGCAGTTGCACGCCAATAGATTTTATTTTTCTCGCTCCGAGTTTATTTTCTACGATTTTGGTCGATTTGGAAGTGTCCGTTGTGTCCATTTAAAAAAGTTAGTATTTTTGATAATTTTTCAAATAAACATTAGTTCAAAATGTATTAGTTATTGAAGTTTATAACAGTTTGTTTGTGTGTATTTTTTCCGGAAAAAACTATCCAGTTTCCTACCATTCATACGTCATTAGATGAGCCGTTTTCGTGCAATTATTTATTGAAAAATATAGATTACGCCGTTTTGAACAGTTAGGTGAGAGTGTGGCTGAATTCCAGCGCAAAATCATTGCCACTAGCGAGCATGTATACGAAATTTCAAGGAATTACTGAGAGATAAAATCTAAAATAAGATTATTTTTTGGATATTTGACCTGGAACTGTTCACACTGAAAATATATTTTCGTTAATACTATTACGCTCATTTCGTAAATATGGGTTTCGTAGATAAAACAAATATTTCCTTAATTGTGCAAAACATTCGTATTGCATGTTTCAAGCTACAATGCCATCATTACGCATAATTCATAAAATATACGAACTATATTTCGTACATTCGCTCCGACGTGGAGTTAAAAAACGTAAACTAATGCAATCAAGTCAAACAAAAGTAGTGAAAAGTTTCCTTAGTGCGTGAACACAAAAGTGCAACCAAGTGGAAACGTCGATGGTTCCAATTATATTCCGTGACTGGTGGGATGACATCAAGGATACTGTAATACGTACTTCTTGAATTCAAGACCAGCACTTTGGTAACGGAATCAACTCGGATAAGCTGATAACGGTAATTTATCAAGATATTTGTCGAATATTCCACTTCAGTGACACTTAAACTTCATTGTTTTATTTCCTCTCTCAGGTATTGGCGCCCGATCAGGACATTGGCAAAAATGATGGGTAACCTATTCCATCAAATTCGGTCACGGGAAGGCGATACACACTTTAGGCGGACCATGTATATTCGAAGGAGGCTCAATTTCAGCATCAGCCCAACAGGAAATCGGTCGTCGGTCAATAAAGACCTATGAAGACTATAAATAGCATGTTGTGTGTGCAGTTTACAGCTAACAGAAATGTCGATAAAGGCTTCCTAAAACAGCATCATCAGCATCGAGAAGAAACAGGACGAGCAAGGTTGCATTTCGAGTTATCACATTCGGTGCAACATTCTTCGGTTAAGCCACAACGCCTTTAAGATCAAGTCACTATTTTAATTACCTTGCCCTAAGAATAATAATTGTAACTGTTGTTTTTAAGAAGAATAAATAATTTTCATTTGTGTTTACTGTAAACTGTCAAAACAGCAAATTTGCTTGAGTCAAACGAATCTGAAAAAAATACGAATTGATTTCGTTCTCCGAAATCTTTTCGTATATAACACGAAAGCCACAGAGACGATTTTATTCTTCTACGAAATGTTCGTACAATGTATGCATGATGTTTTATTGGTAAACGAATATTTCGTGCTATTTACAATGCTTGTACTTCTTGTTACGAATAATTCGTATTTATTTTATGATACATTCGTAAAATACAAGAATGTTACGAAGTGAATGATTTTTATATTTAAACGAAATTAGATTCATATATAGTACGAGTCTATTTCGTTGCAGATAACAACGAAAAGATTTGTGGAATAAACGAGCGCTTTTGTTATATGTACTAAATTTTATTTTCAGTGCACTTTCACAGGAAGCCATAAGGATTTTTTGTAGATGTCGAAAGAAACATCTAAGATAAGTTGTGAGAATCTTATAGACCAGCTTCTGGCCAAATAGCATAAACAAATTTTAAAAAATTGATTCGATCTTCTCAAATTTGCATGAAGCTTTGCTATGGTTAATCATTCACATTTTTGCAATAGAACGTCGCTATTCCACAGCCGCAGACAGTATTTGAGCAAAGTCAAGCGAACACTTTTTGTATGTAGAGTTGAAGGCATACTTCAAATCTCCGCGTACATCGAACGGGTAAGGCAAAGAGTGTGCGTTTGACTAGCGCTGTCGCGTTAATGGCCTTCCGCTCATTTTCAACTTCTATTCAATTTTCGTACTGCCGTGCCTACCGGCTTCTAAGACCATTCTCTAGCTGATAAATTATCACACTAAAGCTTCATGTTAGATAGCATTTCCAACCAACTCTGATAATTTCGTTTTTGTAATTTTGAGTAAAAAATAAAAAAAAAAGTTTTAAAAACTGAAAAATCTCAAACATTAAACCCACAATATTTATAATTAACTTAAAAATAAAGTTCATGAAAAATGAAAATTTTAGGAGTGTTTAAAACCATGGACACTTGAAAATTAACATTGGTCATAATTTCAGACTTCTTGTTAACTAGCTCTTTTATATCATGTTTGCATAGATAACGATTCCGAATGTCTCAAATCTTATTTCTAGTGTAGAGATTACATAAAAAAAGCACACTAGTCAAAAGTTCAAATATTAGATCAGAAGTCGTTTTTCAACGATTTTGGTCAATATTCAAGTGTCAACAGTTTTAAATATTCCAAAAGTTTGCATTTTTCAAGTGCTTTTTTAATAAAAAATGAAGAAATACTTTTAGAGATATTTCAGGTTTGAACACCTTTTTTAACTTTTACTAAATTAAAAAAAAATACCATGCACATTTTTCTTAGACGTCAATTCGATTAGAAGTAACGTTTTGGTGCAACATTTTTTTTTATTAAATTACATAGATGCCATTTTGAAAAAAAAAATCAACATCCAAAATGGCCAATTTTTTGTAAAAATGTGAATGATTGCCCATAGCACACAATTATGCAAAGGTCGAGTTTTTTTTTTTTTTTGAATTCTAGCTAAATCATTTCTAGGCAACATTTTTTGAAGAAACATTATATCTATGTATCTAGGTAGATCAATTTTTCAGAATTAAATTGAAGTGTGCTTTAAAATTTAGTTTTTAGCACTCTTTTTTCACTCAAATTTGTTATGAAAGTCCTATAAGAAAATTGATGAAGCTTCATAAAACGCATGTTTTTTTTAACAACACCTGTATCTCTTTTGATAAAGAAGTAATGCACAGCTATATTTAAAAAAAGTTAACTGGACGATTTTGTGCTACCGACACCAGGAGGACCCATGAACTCATGAACCAACGGCTTTACTTCCCTTCCGAAAGAAGGCGTGATCAGAGATTTTATGCCTCAGAAAATCCCGGATTGAACCCAGGTCTTTTGGGGTGAGAGGCACCACTACACCACAGGCGCCGCTTGCCTTAGTCTTCTGAACAACATTGCAGAAAACAGCAACGTTGTGTCTAGCAGGTATCTCGAGAGGTCGACCCTGCATGTACACGAAGTTTATAAGAATACTAGTGCCACATACCGAGAGAAATCCAAACTAAACTGTCAACAATTCCTGAACAATATTGCAGAATAACAACTTTGTATCAAGTAAGGATCTAGAGATGTCGACTCTGCATTTACATGAAATTTCTAAGACTAGTGGTCTTAGGTCTTCACCTTCTGAACAACAATGCAGAAAACAACAATTTTGTTTCGAGCAAGGATCTCGAGACATAGACCCAGCAATTACACGACATTTATAAGATCACTAGAGCTACCAAGCGAGAGAATTCCGAACTAAACTTTCAACAATTAAAAGGGTCTTGACCTCCAGAACAACATTGCAGAAAACAGTATCTTTGTATCTAGCAGCATCTGTATGTACCCGAAGTTTATTAGAATACTAGTGACAGCTAACGAAAGAATTACGAATTGAACTGTCAACAATTCAAAATCAGTGTTCACTCGGCTGTCGACGAAGCAAGGAGAAACTTTCTGGAGAAGTTGAAAGAATTTTCAGGAATCTTCACAAAGTCGGGAAAACTTCCGTAGATAGTGTTGAGAAACTTCCAGAAGAAGACAGACAAGACTTTCAACAGAAAGCCGAAATAAACTTCCGGAAAGAGTCGGAAGAAACTGCAGAACAACATCAGAAGACACTGCAAAAAGAAGTCAGATGACCTTTTTGATTAAGTCGCAAGAAACTTCCAAGAGAATTCGGAAGAATTTGAGGGAAATTAGAAGAAATTTCCCAAGGATGTCGGAAACACTGAAGTTGATGGAGAATCTGGTCAGAAGAAAATGTTCAAGGAAGTCGGAAGGCACAACCACAAGAACTTAGAAGGACTTTTGGGAAACTTGAAAATTTGAACCTTGGTCTTGTGAGGTTGTACGAATCTTCCAGGAGAAGTCCACAGGAAGACAAAAGAAACTTCCTAGGAAAGTTGGAATTGTACGATGAAAATCAAAAGTAATATTCTATTGAATTTGACAAAAAAAAAGCTGTCAGGAAACGTCCTGAGATAATTATAATTCTCTTGATATGACAATTGCCTAAAACAGTACGGTTCGTTTGACCGAGGGGGACGACTCTATCTACAATGCAGGAAATATTTTGTTTTGGTGTGATCAGCTGCACGCACGCTGGGTAGATAGATAGAGGATTGATGACGATGCTGAAGATTTCCTGCAAAAAGATGATGCGCGATGTAAGTAAATGCGTGAAATGAAAGAAAAATTTTCGAAGATTGACTCGCTGGTGTGAGATTTTTTGAGCATCTAGAATTGAGATTCAGATGTGACGCCCCCTCGCGCTTGACTCTTTCTGCGAGAACCACCCTATTATTTACTCAAGCGATCGCCGTGCTGGAATAGGTAGGAACTTAGAGGAAGAGGAGACAATACGGGGGTGAAAAGGAACCACTTTTCTGTCAAACGCGAACCAGCTCGTGATTGGCCGGTTTGAAGTGCGTAAGACAGAGATAGATATAGATAGATATAAAAGAGTAAGAAGCCAGTTGTCTCCTCTTCGTCTTAAGCTGGGTTTAGACAGGGCAAGTCAATTGATCAAGTCAATTGAATTCAACTGACTTGAACGCGAATTGAACGTGTAAACCATGCAATTCAACTGACTTGGTCAACTCACTTGAATTGAAAAAAAGTTGAACCAGACTCAAATTTTCAAGCCAATTGAATTCAACTGAGTTGATCATTTGACTTGCCTAGTCTAAACCCAGCTTTAGGGTAGGATACAGCAGGCACAACACCGAACGGCGTCCCATAGCAGATCATTTGTTGGGCTATTGTGTTGATTATCTAACGACCGACATATAACCATCAAAGCGGATAAATTCATGTTCGATAGTGTCCCAGAATGGCGTCCCTTATCGCTTAGGTACTGACCGGGATTGTCTCCGAGAGATGAAGAGTGAAAAGAGCAAGCATAAGCATAAGCAAACGTCAGACTGTGCGTGAAACATGGCGGACTTCGTACTATTCTTTCACTCCACTGAAAATTCCCATAAGAAACTGTCAATCTTTGCTAGAAGACACGATTTTTCGGATTGCTTGTTGATTGTAGTCTACACGGTTAATGAAAACGACCTAAATTTGAGTTTAGTTTACTAATAAATCGCCAAAAATTGCAGGAACTCATCGATGAGAAAATTGGCGTAATGTTTTTCCAGGTTTGTCCAGGAAAAAAATCCCAAATATGAGAAAAGTAAAGATTGGACTCACGCAGTATATTGGTACTACGTCTATACAGAGTAAAATTTTCGTAAATTTTTCACATTTTCCGGCAAATTTTTGAGGTTTTCCACAGAAAAAAATAAAGAAATTTTTACTCATAACTGAGTTTTAACATTTTTTGCGATTATGAGTAAACTAAACTCAAATTTGGGTCGTTCTCATGGGCCGTGCAGTAATAAGGTAGAAGAGAATGTTGTGTTAGTTGAAAGTAGATCACGGTCGGAATCGAACGTGAACGAATCGAATATTAAATTATGTATAGTCTCATAGGCGTAGCCAGATAGGGGCAGGGGGGGGGCGACTGCCCCCCCCCCCTAAACTCGGCAACACAAAGGCTTTCGAGGAAATGGCGTTCGGTGAAATGGCATTCGGCCAAATTTTCCATGGTAATTTTTTTTCGCCCCTCCCTAGCTCGAAACCTGGCTACGCCCTTGTATAGTCTCTAAGTATAAATAAATGTAGTGCAATGTTTAGTTTGTGTTTCCAGTAAATATGTGTTTTACTGTGTCAAGGTTAGTAGAAATCCGAAGAATCCTGGATGAATCCCCATTCGGTCAGGGTTCGTTCGTGTGAGTTGTACGCTGTTGACTGCAATTATTTTGAATTTCCATTGTGGTGTACTTCACCACCAGCACCATCTTACATCCGCCAACCCAGCATCATACTTACGGCCAGATAATCCTACTATCCTACAAACCCTCTGGCAGTTAATTCAATTGTAAAATTGTCAAACGAGTCAAAAAGCTTCAGTCAGAAGAGTTCAAACAGCAGCTAAAACCTAGTTCATCGTGTTAAAGGACTGTCCGGCCAAGTGGAAAATTTAGGGGAGGAGGATGAGTATCCACCCACTTATCAATTCTCCTGGATCAGAAGACAGACCTGGCGTAGTAAATAACATAGATGCCTCTCACGTAGAAAGTCGCTATTTCAAATCTTATCTCCGACCGAACTGTTGTTCATATGACCATAGACTAACACTTTTACCAGGGGTCCCAAAGAAACTTGCTCAATTGTTTGGCTCAGGAAGTACCAGACCGTCGGTCTTAAGCTAATTGAAGCACCCTTCGAAACATGGGGATCCCAAGAACCCCTCATCCAACTCTGTCAAATTAATAAGACGAATCAAAACAAACACAAACTTTGGCAGATTCTAGTATGAGAATGGAGTACGCGTATAAATTTACTTGGGACCAATGAGCTAGTCAAGTACTGATCAAATTAAAAATCGTCAGTTTCGTATTGATTGATTATATTACACCCACCTTACCCTAATTAGGGACTGTAGCTCAGTGGAATCTCAAAATTGTATCAAGAAGTATTCCCAAATACAGTAATGAGCCGAATTTATAAGCCCTTCCGCGCATCTTTTACGACTTTTACCTTTCAATGATTTCACATAACCGTAATTCCCCGTCTTTCTCATTCATTGGTACCATAAGACCACTGAAAAAGAGCATGGGTTTTGTAGAACCTACGATTACATTTACTTATTTACTCATTGCTGTAACGATGGATTGAAAAGTATTTCTTATAGTACTGCCATTATTTGGACATTATGGTCACCTGAAACCAATTAATGGCCACTGATGGAAACAGCCTAATTCGGTTCTATTTGAACCATGAACTAGCTGCGGAAACGTGTGTGGGAGCTCATCTACTCATTTTACTAATATTTACTAATATTCTGTAATCCGACTTAATTTGTGATGCAGTGCGATGGAAAAATTATTCATCGCAAATAAGGCAGAAATTTGCATTGTATTTAACGATTTAACTTAAACATAATGCGATGTATCTTATTCTTATATGCGATGTTGACTTGAACTGCAGCAAAACACGATACTGGCTGTATAATACCCGAGCAAAGTCTGAGATCAAATTGAAAACTAAATTTGATGATGTGATGTAGCTGATAATGAATACTCAGGTTGCTGTCGTTTTGTTAAACGGTGAAAATATCGAAAATTGAGAGAGCAAAAAAAAATCTTCCTGTGACATCACATTGAAAACTAATTCTGTCACCGGTGAGAATCGAACCACGCCTTCTCAGTTCACTAAAAATGCACTCTACCACTATTCTACACAGAGGCAAATAAAATTAAGAATTTCATAAGGCTCGACTTTTGAACGACACACATGAATTTCATAAGCGTGACTTATGAATGATTTTCGTCTAACATGAGGTAGCTATTATACGCCTAGCCTAATTTTTCCTAGCGTTGAAAGTGGTCAGCACACGTCCATGGTTCGATTCCAGTCAGCTTCGTTTTATTATTTTTATATCAGCATTATTTTTCAAAAGGCAAATCAGTGAAATTCCTACCGATTTCTTGTGTCTAAAATTGATAAGTGGATCTCATGGAATTCTTGCGTCCATTTGCCTCAGTGTACGGTAAACCGCCTTTCCATCAGATCGACGCACCCTGCTCATGAAAGTCCCCTACGCCACTATGCAAATACTTACAACAACGACAGTTCCGGTTTCGGGAAGATGTCGCTAACCCCACAGGATACAACCACGCTGCCGTTGTTCCCTCGGTGGTACGTCAGATTGAACTCCATCTCCGGTACGATGATCTGCAGGTGTCCCGTTTTGGTTTCGTTCTCCTCGTACGTTTGCACCGAACAACTGTAGTTGCCAGTAAAGTTGGCTGCCGGGTTGATCAGCTTTAAGGCACGATATTTCTGGAACCGATCATCCGACACCGGATGGTCCAAATCGATGTGACCCTTGAAGGAAGACTGAAAATGTGCATAGAGCGTGTTAGCAAGATCTTCAACCATACTCTAGACGAAAAGGATAAAATCTTACGAATGCCACCGGTTTTGATTTCACCGGAATCCATTGATAGATCTGCAGCCCATTATGCTTCCACTTCAGTACGAACCCCTTCGCCATGGCTTCATCCATCTCGAACTCACAGTCCAAGATGAGATCTTCCGAGGGCTCTTCACCTCGCGATACGATGTACGATTGCGGTACGTCAAGATTGGTGATTTGTAAGCATTGTGACGCTGAAAATGAGAAGAGAAACGAATGAAACAACTCATTACAAAAGGGAGTCTTGTTATATTTGCTAACATTCATCTAAACCTAACCAAACTATGAGATCATCCTTATTTGAATAAACACGACCCTTGAACACGTTCCAAAAGCTGTCATTGCCAAGAGCAAAAAGTTCGACTACCGGTGCCAAAGATTATCGAAAATATGCGAAACAGAAGAGCGTAATTTTTTTTGCTCATCTCGGCCGTAGTGGACATGTAGTTTTGAATTCTGTGTATGCCAGCGTCATATTTCACCATCATCACCCGTCCACCTGTGAGAGAATGGAAACATTCGGTCATAACAAAATTTCAAAATATAATAGCATTTGCTGACACCACCGGGAGATATGAATTGAAAGCAAAAAAAAAATGTGTGGATGATGATTTACTGCTGTGTTCCTGTCAATCATATACCTATTATTAATTCCACGTGACGTACGCGGGTACACAAATTGCGGTGGATGCAAAATTTGCATCCCCGGCATATGTGACATGCTGCACTGCAGGATAATCTAGGTGACATCGCGTTGCGTTGATGAAAAATGCAATATCGGTGTTTTTTTTCAGAATCCGTATAATCAACGGAGTCTAATAAAAAAATATCTGCAACTGATGGGAACAGCAACAAATTGGAAACGAGGATGTTCCAAGCATTATTTAGGTTAAAGTGATTGATTGGTACGGTTCAACTTATTTTAAGCAATAAATATCGATTTCTCGCGAGCATGAAGAACACGATCTCTGACGTACTTTAAACTCAAGTCAAAGTTTCGACCGTTCGTTCGTTGGTGTAAATCCCCGAAGAAAGGCCAGACCGTCACAAAGAGGTGCATCATTTATCATTCTTCGGTTGGCCAGTCGGACTAATGTTGGCTAATTGTTCCGACAATTAACCGGATCCGCGGTCATTGAAAACTTCTCTCAACTATTCTCGGTTCATCTGCGGCATCAGAGAGGCGAATGTACAGCGGAATATTTTGTGTAATAAGATGAATGGTAAGGTAGGTGTCTCTATTATCATTAGAAGGGTCAATGATGTTGGGCTTAGGCATAAATACGAATGAAAACCGGTTTTGGATGATTTTCCATTACCAACCAACGGATGTGCCAAATTTTTAGATCCAACAATAGATGTTTTTTTAAGGTCAACACTAGAGGACTTTCCCCTGCGTCTTGCTAGATTGTCTGGCCATTCGATCTATCTGCGAAGCATACAGGCTAACGTGAAAGTACCCTTTAATGGGTAAAAAATAGCCATTTTGAAGAAAAGTGTCTTAACCCATTAATGTGTAAATGTTATGAGTATATTTTATCCATTAATGAGTAACTTTTACATAATAATGGGGTAATAGTTACTCATTAATGGGTAAAAATTGACTAATTAATGAGTTGAGCCACTTTTATTCAAAATGGGTATTTTTTCCTATTAATGGGTACATTCAAATTAGCGTGTATAGCTACAAATGACCCAAATGAGGCATCTCCTCTTCCTGTTCCTATTTTATGTTGTTGGTGATATAATATTAAAGCTTCATTTTGACTTTGCCACAACAACAAAAACTAATATAGGGAAAATGGCTCTAATGTTGGCCTATGGTTCTAAGATTGGGCCCATCGCTAAAAATCTGCTATTTGTCAATTTTATCTCGATGAACGCGTCATTGGGACGGTACTAATGGATATGTTTGGTCGCTATTGAAAATTTAGTCGATTGCTGAATTTATGTATGGGCCCAAATAAGGGGCATTTAGGCCCTCCCCATGGACATGGAGGTTGACGGTACTGAAGCAAAGGGTTATGTTTAATTTCTTTATATTTGCAACGATGATGATTTCCTATAGTGACACATATCACCTTCTCAATGCTTCAGTATGCCTCAAACGATTAATTCTTGGTTGTTAATAGAACTTCCTTGATGAAATCGGCTGCTTCATGCAGACTGAGCAATTCTGATTATAGTATCAGATTTGTTCTGTATACAGAGGTACTGGGAAGGCTTATTAGAAACTTCTCACCTATAAATTAATGATGTTCTACTGAATTTTGCATATAATTTTATTAATATTTTATTTTATTTAATCATATTATTTTTGTTACAGTCAATTAGCATTAGCGTACGATACAAGAGATATAATATTACTTGCTCGTTTTTCCGTAAAATAATCAATATTTATTTTACTTGTAATTACCTTTGAAAGTTTTTTTTTTGTGATCTGAAATTTTTTTCAGTTTGGTTAGAAGTTTTGAATCTATACCTTCGAACCTATACCTATAGCCCCCTCTAAAATGAGACTCGGGCTGTACCTATATAGTGTGCATGAACAATTTATGTTTGCAGCGATTCTGTTAAAGATCATGGGACCATCGAGTTTTTATGAAAGATCAGCCTCGTTTCACTTCCGTAGGAACTAGGGTGTAGACCAAATTTGTAGCCTTCTAAACACAATCTGCACTGTACCCCTCTTTTTCAAGCAAGATTTCATACAAAATAGAATGTTTCTACAACAAATGACTTCTTAATTTATTTACCTTTTAATATGTACCATTGGATTTAACAAAGAGTCACACATTGTTTCTATTTAGATTTTAACTCTTTAATTGTTCAAAATTCAAAATAAATTACTTTTCGTTTTAACCCAGGTGCTCAAGCCACCTAGTAACTTATCTGCTATAATTTTTATGATATAAATCTAAGTGATTTTACATTGTTCCTGCCTTAGAAATAAACCTGCATGTCAGTATAACAATTCACATCAAAACTAAAAACTAAAACTATATCTTCTCTATTATAAAGGTAATTATTAATTATTTTGTTGGACATTTCTAGATAGAGCTGGAATTAGGGCATAACAGCTTTTGTAAACAATGGCTTCTCTCGATGATTTTTCGAAAGACATGGCTCTTCCTGGCAAATCAACATTACCATCGAATAGGGGAAGACTTCCCATACCCGATGGATAAGTTGATTTGTGTAGGGGTGCCTTGAGTTGCTAGAAATCGACGAGAGAATTCATTGTTTACAAAAGCTGTTACGCCCTAATTCCAGCTCTATCTAGAAACGTCCAATAAAGTCTCAACATTCGAAATTCTATGTACTTCGGTAGTACTGTACTAGGGAGGCAATTTCAAAATCATCTTCAGAACTTTGTTCTTAATCCTTTGAAGTTCTTTTTTCCTGGTAGTGCAAGATCTAGACCATATTGGCACAGTATAAATCAGGACCGGTCTAAAAACTTATTTAAATATTAGAAGTTTATTCTTCAGGCAAAGTATGCATTTTCTGTTTATAAAAGGATACAAACATCTTATATATTTATTACATCAATGTGATCTTTCAACACAACCACTTTCAATAGGATTACAATCTAAATATGTGGATCTCATATCGGCTCTTAATCATGCGAACAGTATAATACAAGTTTTTAAGAAGAGACGAGCTGACGCTGAAGCAAAATTTGCTGAAATTTTTAATGCAACCTCAAAGCTGCATATATCTGTTTTCGAATGCGCAGCTACGACTACATCCACGTGCATCCAAGCAAACAATACGTGCAAATCAATCAGTAGAAACACCAGAGGAATACTATCGAAGAGCAGTTTTCATTCCATGACTCGATGGATTGATCCAAAACATGATGGGACGTTTCACAAAAAATGATGACATCCTTCCGGTGTTCCAAATATTGTTGCCTGGTTTTACAGATATTGGAGAGTCATCCCAACTTGACAAACTTAAATGTTATCTCTGTGATTTCACCAGCCTGGTTGCCAGAGTTGTGACCTATCACAATCACGATCGCCAAACAGTTGATGGTAGTAACGCTTTGTACATTCCTATCAATGTGCTCGTCGAAGCTGACCATCCATCAAGTTGACGAAAGAAGTAAAAAGCAACTGGTGAATGTCGTTCCCGACAATCACGACACTCATCTGTGCTCGTTTTGAAGCAGTTGCTGCTTTGCTTGCTTATTTGAGTGTGTTGGCAAGTGAGCCCAACAGCTTCCGTTTCATGTTGCCTGCTTTGTTTGTAACTCACACAGTCGCACCTGCCGAGACGAACTTGGAATGCGTAGGCATTGTTTTCATTTTCTTCTGTTGCTTCGCTTTTTCTCATCATCGTACTGCAGAATTCTTCACTGTTTTCGTTGTGCTTTTCATGATCAGCAGCGAGTGTAACGTTTTGCTTGTGAGCAGTGACCATTACTGGTGATTGTTGTTTGCCATAGCTCTAACTCTCAGAGCGTGACAAAACGATCTGTCAGCAAAAGTCGGTTGATGCGAAGACGAGTGTCACGTGAGTGTCATGATATTTTGCATCACTGGCTGGTTGCAGGTAAAGGTGGAATACGAGCTCTGGTGCCGGACATCCAAAAATATTAACAAGAATTTTGAGGCATTTGGGCTGCTTGATAAATGTGACTCGACGTATTTTCCAACAATCAATGTTTTGTTGAAGATTTTGTTGACACTACCGGTCACTACAGCCAGTGTGGAAAGATCTTTCTCCACACTGAAACGAATTAAAACTAATGGGAAACCAGCGACTTTCGGGCTTGGCTATAATATCAATTAACTGCTTAGAGTAAAGCTAGAAGATTACTTTTGTAATAACCAGGTATAATGTCCAGGATATGGCTCTACGTTGTGTTAATTTGTTGCTCAGATTTTTGGACAGCAGTTTGGAGATCGGCAACTGATTCAAATGAAGTAAAAGAATACATTTCTCATTCACTATTTATTACTTCTTTCAGGCAGCACCCTGATTGGAAGTCAAATTCAAACTTAATCTAATTGCATTAAATATTTGCACTTATATAGCTAACTGGAACAATACAAAATATCACAGAATAACGATCAATTCAAAAACAAAACAAAAATACAGTGATGCTAAAACAAAAACTTAAAAACATACAGAATGATGAAGGCAACAATATTCGCTGTTCGTGTTTCGTGTGGATCACATTGCT